AATGCCACGACCCTTTAATACAGTTCCTCATGTTGTGGTGACCCCCAACCATAAAATTATTTTCGTTGCTACTTCATAACTGTAATTTTGCTACTGTTATGAATCATAATGTAAATATCTGATATGCAGGATGTATTTTCATTGTTCGTGACCCACAGGTTGAGAACCACTGGACTAGTCCAAGACCACGCAGCTAGTTAGTGGCAAGACAGGATTCTGATTCAGGCTCTAGAGTAAAATCCTTAACCACCTTATCATACTCAGAACAGACCAATGAGGGGACTGTTAAAAGAGTGTTTGGTGTTGATGGTGACCTGAGTGAAGGGAGTGCAGTGTGGGATGTAGAGGTGTGGATGGACCCCAGAGCTCTTTAAAAGCCAGACTCCAGAGAGCCTGAATAGCATCGGAACAGAGGCAGAGGAGCCCAAGGTGCCTTTGTGTGTTAGGGCACCTGGTGGGGCAGTATCCTCACTGGGATGGGAAACTTGGGGGGTGGGGGCAGGTGTTTGAGGGGATGATGGGACAGACCTTGGGAGAACTGGCATGGGAGAAGCCTTCTGGGGTTACCCCCCCCTCAGCAGCAGCCCTAAGATGAGACAGCAGGCCCACCACGCCCTAGGAGCCCAGACCCCAGACGGCTGGGAGGGAGAGAACATGGGCTTCCTGTGCTCCATCTGGAGCAGCACCCCCAACTCCCTATTGACTCTGGGCAGCCACCTGCCTGCCAGGCACAGCAACAGGGTCCAGCAGGGAGTGGAAGGGTGCTGTCTGCCTGCCCCAGAGCGGGTACCATCAGCAGGAGGCGGGTGTCTCGCCTCCTACCCCCCAGACTGCCTGGCGCTGACTCAGTCCCCTGGAACAAACAATCCCCCACGGTGACAGCTGACACGCGTCACTCACCATCAGGGTTGCCTAGCGACCAAGTGGGCTTGGGCTCAGGCTGTGGGGTGGGATCTGGGGTCCTGCCCTGAAAGATTTTAATTCTTACCAATTTGGATGTAGGACCACACCGTACATTCCAGTGCCCAGAGCATTCCCCACCCTGCTCTGGGCACTGGAATGTACGCACCACAAGCCCATTTTACCGACGAAGAAACAAACTCAGAATGAGGGATCTTTACTAAGATCACCCAGCGAGATAGTTGAGCCAACACAGTGCCTGACATGTAGTAGGTGCTCAATAAATATTTGTTGAGAAAGCTTGGGCCTTTCTCCCAGCTTGGGAACCCCACAAGGGCAAAGCCTGAGTCTTATTCATCCTTGACTTTCCCAGAGCCACCCAGAGCTGATTCTCAGGAAGCATGGACACAAGTTAGTTGGATGGATGACTTCTCTGCGGACCCCCTAAGGGACAGGGACTAAGGGGTGACCTCCCCATAGGGACTGTGGGAGGCCTCTGGGTAGGGAGGGGCCCAGAAAGGGGCTTCTTGAATTCAAGGAGCCTTTCTCCCAGGAGCTGGTTAGCTCTGAGTTCCCAGTCTCAATTCCTTCCAGTCCTCAGGAATCAGCCCTCCTGCTCCCACCCCATAGCACTGTCCAAGGCCCAGATGAAATAGGGGACTCAGAGAGATCAAGATGGATCCCGGGGGGATGGAGAGAGAGGAAGAGAGCAGAGAAAGGGGGAGGGAAAGGAAAAAGCAATTGCAAGGCCCAGAGAGAAAGACAAAGCCAGGGAGAGAGGGCTGGAGATGGTGTGTGTGTGTGTGTGTGTGTGTGTGTGAAGGTGCCTAAGGGAGCTCACTCCTTACACAGGAGAGACAGTTTGAATCCACAGAGTCCTGATACAAAGGAGACAGGCAGTGGGGGCAGCAGGGGATGATGGTGAAGGGAGACTGGTCAAGAGCTGGGGAGGACCACGGAGCAGGCAGGCAGCAAATCCCAGGAAAAGGAAGTGGGGAGACCAGGAAAGAGGCAGGTGAGACAATGCGGAAGAAGTGAGAAGGAAGGGGGGACAGGGAAGGGCTTGAGGGGGGTAAGGGTAACCCTCCAGAGGAAAGAAAGATCAGGGCGTGTGTCCTGGAAGTGCCAGCAGAGCTGAGTGGGCCAGGGCCGAGATAGGTTGACTGTGTGAAGGGGCTGAGGAGGGACAGAGGAGGAGGGAAGGCAGTGAAGGGGGAGGGGGGGAGCGCTAAAGGCCCCAAACAATGAGCTGAAAGGCTGGTTGATGGTTCTGTGGTGAGAGGAAGGGAGCCAGGCAGGGGCACCACCACGAGGGCCCAGAGAGAGAACAGGGGAGAGGGAACCTCTCTAAGGCAAGGTGATCAGGATAAAGAAATGAGAAATGAAGATTCTCAAGGGCCAGGTGTGAGGCCAGGCCACAGTGAGAGACAAACCAGAGGGAACAGCAGACAAAGGGGAATGCGGGGGCAGGAAGAGGAGGGAAGCTGGAAAGTGGGGAGGAGACCTCGGGAGCGATGGGAAGAAAAAGGGTTAATGGGCTCTGCAATCTGTGGGTCCTGTAAACAGATGCAGTTGCCATAGCAACCGGCTCCATCACTCAGGCTGGAAAAACCCACAAGGGGGGGGGGGGGG